AAACTGGCGGGTCGGGGCTAACAATCCAAATCAAAAAAAACCTGGGGAGGGGGGGGGGGGGCCCACGGGAGCAATACAGGGCAGATCCAGAGAGGAACCCTTCAGTCGGCCTAAACACAGCCGAGAAAGCTGTTCCCTCTATTCTCTAGAAGACTGCATAAAGGTAAGGCATTTAAATGCGCGTTATCAGCGGAAAACTACAAACATGTCCTTGCAAGACGAAGAGAAGCGCCAAGTTTGCATTCAGATGTAACTTGGGTTTTCTTCATATGCTTCACTAAACAGTGCCACAGTCTTGCCGTGCTCTTGGTTATTTTATGTGCCGACAAAAAATACGCTACTTGGACAACTTTAGTCGTTTCTCTTTGGGAATATGTATTTTAAAATTGAATCACCTATTCCCTGACGCGGAATATTTTATTTGATCGCATCTTGAAAATGGCACTGGCAGAGTTAATCGGTCAACTTGACATTATAATGTCATAATAATTTGAAATAATTTAATATAATTCCTATATTTTTCTTTTGAAAATTACCGTAGGCCTAACTCTTAATCCCGCTGTATTTTCGAATGTAGGCTATTTAAAATATTTATAGCGGAACCAAACATCTTCTTCAGCGGCCGCTGTACCCAAATATTCCACCCGATATAGCCTACTTTGTATTTTCTGACTACTGTAATAGATAATACTGGTATGACTGATATCACTTCTGATTTCCATAATAATGGGTACTTTTGTTATTCTAACTGTGCAATGGTCTCTTATTTACATTTTTGTGTTACAGCAATCTATAATTCAGTGGTAGGCCTATATTTTAAATGCATATTTCATATTGAGTTTGCAGTATATAGGGAAACCATATTTAACATTCTTCAGTATTTCATTTTGATATATGACTAACAGCTGCACCCAATAACACCAAAACTCATTTTAAATGCCTTCACAAATTTCGTTAAATCCCTCATACTTTCTGAAATCCAGCAAGGTGTAATAATAATTCTGGAGTAGGCCTACGCTCACAATTTAAATTCTAATCTACAGTCGTGTGAATGGGTGGAACAACTGAAATGTTTACTTAATATTAGCAACAATTGTTTTCCTTTCGAAAATTAAATATATTTAATATAACATGTTGGTGAAGCAAAGATGTTAAAAATATCCGTAACAGGCCTCCCTAAAAATCTGTTTAGAAAATGACAAACATGCCCATTTATGCCCATATTAGGTTGTAGTAGGGTAAATGTTTAAATTTGCTCGTATTTTCCAAATTAGCCTGCATGTTAGGTTTTTGCTTGTTGCCCGTTTTTTATGTTCGCTGCCGTCGTCGCTGCATGAGTAGGCTAGTCTATATATTGATGAACTGAACTGCTATGTTGTTACCACCCCATCTTTGCAAAAGCACAGATTGTCCAATCAGATTTAAGCGCAAGGTCGTGCTGAGATGACCTCGCACATTCTCGCGCTTACTTCGTTCTCCACGAAAAACAACACCGACTGCCCTGCAACACATTCAGAATTTAAAGAAATATGACCATTTTCATATTTGCACGTCAAGTAATAAAACATTTATTTCATAATTATCTTTTTTCCACAATATTATATTGTAATATCCCATTAAAAATCAGCATTATAACAATTACAAAAGTATTTCCATAGAAGAGATAGAACAATATTGGACAGGCCAGTTAATCAGCTGACATTTGGCTATTTTGAGATGATTATTGGCACTGTCCAAAAACAGGTGTCCACATGGCTAATTAATGTAAAGGTTATGTGTCAGTTCCAAAATCCACTGACAGCCATGCCATTCAATTAACTTTCCATTTCCTTTTCTTTTTTCCCATAAAACAGTAGAATTACAGGCCTATAACAGCATTATATCGGCTATTAGCCACCATGTTTTCTCTAGATACCAGTATTGGCACCAGCCATTGGAAACTCATACTGGTCAAGTACAAAGCTACACTCTTGCACAAGAATAACAAAGTTATTTAAGAGTAGGATGCCTCATTCAATAGGTTCTGAAATGCATCTCTCTTGTTGTCTATTAAATCATGCTAATGCAATTGGGGAAAATGTGCACAGGCCAGCTGGTACTGACCCAGAATGACTCTGTAGATCCTTTAGACTAGACTTTTTTTTTTAAAGAGTGAGCAAACATCAGATGGGGTGAGCTTGAATTGTTGGAGAGAATGCATGTGAGAATTATGGGTGTGACTTCACATGTGTCGCTGCCTTTTGTTAAAGGGATAGTTCACCCAAAAATTAAAATTCTGTCATTTACTCACCCTATAATGTCTTTTTAAACCTTTATGATTTTATTTCTTAGTGGTTCTGTGGTACACAAAAGAAGACATTTTAAAGAAAGTTTAAGCTGTTATTGTCTGTACAACGAAAGAGGTCCAAAAACACTGGATCCCACTGTCTTTCATTGTGTGGAGGGAGGAAAAAGACATAGAGGGAGAGAGAGAGAGAGAGAGAGAGAGAGAGAGATTACAAAATACCTCCTTTTGTTTTCCAAAGAATACAAACTCTCCAACAGGTTTGGAACAACATGAGGGTGAAAAAATAACTAATTTTTTTTTTCTGGGTGAGCTACTCCTTTAAGATCAGACCATTCTTTGAAAAAAAAGTCATGATTATATGCTTTCTGTAGGGCAACTATGTGTCTGTACCTGTGCCTCCTCTCTCTTGTACGTTCTTTGTGTGCATATTTC